TCATGTTGATGTTACCTATCTGGGGTGTTCCAGAGTGTTCTTGGTTGTCTTCTTCAAAGAAAGAATTCGCTCAAAAGACCAATTAGTAAAGCAGGCAAAAGTTTTATTGGGGACGTAAAAGGACACTCCAAAAGAGGAGTGGGCTGACCCTGCTGGAAACAGCCCCGGGATATTCTGCATTTGATATGCTGTGGTCTTGCTTTTTTCCTTGCCCACTTCTCACCAAGGCTTGGGGTATCATCCCTTACTGTGGTTAATGGACGTGCACTGGACGCAGTAATCAATACGAATCCCACCCAATGGGAACATTGCTCATTACTGCCACCCGGGAAGGGCATATAGCCATCAAAGTTGTACTCATTGCACCTGTGTGGCTCTCAAGAATTCTGCTTTTGCCTTTTTTCTCCCTTATCAGGATCTAGTTAACCACACTTTGACAGTTCCACCATAGAGTGAGTACTGGGCATCTTAAGAGGTGTTCTGGGCTGTTCCTTCCAACATGGGTACTTCCCCTCCTACCTGCTAATATCTGACTAACTGCCTCCTCTTACATTTATCTCTTAAGGAGTTGGGACCCAGAAATCTTTTGGGAAATAGGGCGGAGGTCATTCTTCTGTAACTACTTCCTGCTGCAAAGGGGCGTCGAGGGTCTTCTGGTCCCTCCTCCTTGCTTGCTGTCATGGCAAGAAGCTTTCAGAGGTTGTTGTTGTCTCTCAAAAGGTTTGACCCACAGTGTCCAGAGGAGACATGCAGAAACTTGCTTGTCCTCAAGGTTAGGAAAGAGGTTGATATCCTTGTCACAAGACTATTTGAAGTCTGACGGCTTCTAGATGGGACGAAATAAACTTAGTTAGTAGATTCAAGAAGCAAGGCCCAGAAAAGAGAAGAAGGAAGATAGAGGTCAGGGGTCTCAGGAAGGGGAGGGGCCATGAGAATCAGAACCAGGTGACACCCCTCAGCAGCCCCTTCCCAAAGATGAGAAGCCTAGTTTATGAGATCTCAAATGTGCTCCTGAGCCTGCCCTGATCTCTTAACCCAGATCAGTACTCTTCTCCAAGCACAGTCAAGTTCCTCCCTGAGCTGCAACCAGCATGTCAAGACCTCTACCATGTTTGAGAACTACAGCTGCGAGAGAACTGACTTGTCACTGTAACTCTTTTATAGCAAGCAGTCATTTCTCTCTCTTGAACCAATTCCAGAGACAGGCTGTGGTAGGTTCAGGAGTAAGTGCCAATGCTGGCTATTCCTATTGTGGCACCTGTGGTAATGCCAAGCCCAACAAGAAAGGGAATTAATTGAATTGCTTGGTGGGCCCCAGTAATAACAGCAAGGGCTGAGAAGCATCACCTGGGGCAATGAGATGCTAGGGGTTAGGTAAGCCAGCATGGGTGTTCTGGTCCACTTTGCAGGGAAGCCTAGGTGGGCCTGTGTCCCACACAGAAAGCAAAGTTCTGTCATAGGTAGACAAGAATGGATATGGAAGGAAGCAAAGTCAATTCCAAACATTACCAATATCCTCATTGGCTATGCAAGATGTGATATTCTGTCACTAAAGTTGGAGCTGCTAGGAGAGCCAGACATGAGTGACTAGTTTGAGTAGGAAGATGGTTCTTATTTTCCCAGAAGAGCATGTGTCTAGTAATGTCAAGGAGAAGAGCTTCCAAAGGGAGTTAAAGATTTGAAATTTTTGCGTGACCCCTCCTGGCTTGGTAAGGTAGAGAACCTTACTTGGTATTGGGAGATTTTAGTTTCTAAAAAAAATATATATATATATGAGAGGTATTGACAATCGTGATGGTTGTGTTGCAGTGCTCAGGGTTGAGAGAACCCACAAAAGTTCCAGAATCTCTGGCAGTAGTGATGCCTAGGGGTACCTGCCTGAAGGTGATGGGGGAGAACAAGGGGCCTAAAATAGTGCAAGTGTTAAGAAAAGCTTGAAAGTCCCCTTTGCTTGTGTTAGGTACTGTATGCATCTCTGGGAAGGTTTTGTATAGAGAAGCCCCAGTGATAGGTGAAGCTAAATTGGGTTTGAGAAGTTGCCTATTCTTGTATCGTGGCTGAGTAGGCTGTTCCTGCCCTAGATAGAACTAATTCGTGCATAGCCCATAGGTTGAGGGATAGGAAGATTTGGTGAACTTTAGTAGCTGTTGAGCTGCTTGTAGATTTTTTTTTATATATAGTTGTGGGCTGTTGGGGCCTATGAGGGTGATTTTAGCTAGGAGCATAGAGCATTTGGCTGCATGGTCCCAAAGAGAGCAGATTAGAGCCAAATTAAGATGTCTGTTGATTATGGGAAAAAAAGCTATTAACTCAGTGAGTGTTAGAGAGAACACCACCCAGATAATGGCTTTGAGATTTAAATCCAGGTAGGGCAGAAGAGACCTTTTCCTGGGGCGGTGGGGTGGGTGGGGGGTGGTGTTCGTTCACAGTAGCAAAGACATATTAGTAAACCTGCAAGGAGTATTATGATTTATGGTATAACAGGCCAAAGCATTACTAATTTACTTATCTTTATTCTTTTGGATTTGCTTGAAGAGGAGTTTGAGACCCTGGAGGGGCTCAGTGGTCCAGGTGTCCAGTGGGGCCTTTACGACTTCCTCTGCCAGAGATGAGTCACACAGCTTTATCTTGGAGTAGTGGATCCACCTGGTGATCCCTGGCACCATAACTGCTGTAGGAGTGGAGAGCAAAACAGTGTAAGGACCTCTCCAAATAAGACTCAGTTGAGAGTTTGGAGTTCCATCCTTCCAAGTCTTAATGAGAACTTGAGTACTTGGAGGGTATAAAATTTGGTCAGAGTTTTCAGGATGTGAAAATATCTTTTGGCCAGTTTTTGAATTCCCTGCTGAGACTGGGATAGAGAAGTAACATAATTAGTGAGTTGGTAAGTTTCAGTATCCAACAGGAAAGTGAAGAAAGGATCTTCCACATAATAACTCAAAAGAACTGAGTTGTAAGTTAGAGGTGGGTATGTTTCTCAGCCTTAGTAGAGCAATACATAATAGCTCTGGTCATGGCTTTGAGGTTTCCTGGCATAATTTTTCCAAGATTTGCTTGAGAATTTGGTTAATTCTGTCAACCATTCCAGAGTGTTGTGGATGCCAGGAGAAAAGTCGAAAGTAACTGATTCCCAAGGCCCGAGAAACAAGTTGAGTAAACTGTGAGGTGAAGGATGTACTGTTATAACTTTGCAGTGACCTGGGAATGACAAACCGGGGGACGACCTCCTTGAGGGCCTTTACTACCCTCATTGCTTTTCCCATTCACACTGGGTAAGCTTCTATCCAACCTGGAAAGGTGTCTACAAAGACCAGAAGATATTTATACCCTTGACAGGCAGGAAGTCAGTTGAAGTCAAACTGCCAGTCCTCCCCAGCATAAGTGCTCCCCCATTGGACTGGCTGGAAAAGAAAAGGAGGTTCGGCTCCTTGTGAGATGTTTAATGTACAAAGGGCACAGGCCCTGCAAACTTGTTCGAGAGTCTTGGAAAGATTTTTTTCCCCAAAAGAGCCATTTGCACATTATTGAAAGTTTTTTCTTGCCAAAGTGGCAGGAGTCATGCAAAACATAGCTAACTTTCCATTGAACATTTTAAGACAGATGTAGGACCTTTCACAGTTGATACCAGCCTCCGGGGCCTCGTGTCCCAGTGCCCATTCCTATTCCTCTGGTGAGTACAAGGGGCTGGTGGCTTTGGATCCTCAGTGGGAGGATGAATTAAAGGAGGCTGAGGATGCTCTGCTGGGAAATTTCCTAAGCCATTTATAGGAGAATTACCCACTGAGGGGCTCACAAGAGCCAAAATGGCACGGTCTAGTTTGCGTTTTTGGAGAGATTCTGATCTTCTTTTAGAGTCATAAAGGCCTGGACATAGGGTACCTCTGACCATTTACCCTGTCACCTGCAAAGCAGGTCCAGCTGCAAGATGGTATTAAAATTAAGGCTACCATTTTCTGGCCAGACTTCCATAGTCATATAGTTTTGTATTGAGGCCATAAAGAGTTACAAAAGAAAACTAACATCTTTTTCTTTAATGTCTAGGAATCAATCTTGTCCTAACTTTTGAGAATGCATCCAAGGGGTGACTCCCACAGTGTGGGGTGTTGAATGTCCATCTGAAAGACAGACAGAAGTAAAGGCCAGGGGAGAGTGAGCATCCTGTCCATTCTCATCCATTATGAAAGGGGAAGAACATCCTCTCCATCTCTTTCCCACACTAGGCCAGGCATCCCTAGCTTCTGAGGAGCTTCACACTTCATGCACCCTTATTGCATGCTGCCTACTGAGAGGTGACCTCTTTGCCTCATTTGGTCTGTTGATCCCCCAGGTCCATAATTATAGATGACTGTGCCCAATTATAATTTTGTAGCTTTTTGTGTGATAACCCTCTGCATACAGGCAAAGCATGTCAAGGACAGTGGGGAGGGCCAGAGACAAGAGGGAAGTTGACTAGTAAATCCCAGAGAATTCAGTGGTCAGAACATGGAAAGAGTTTTGGGTAGTAGCTACATCCAGGAGAACCCTAAACCAAGACCATAGCACCTGAAATTTACCTAAATTCCTTCGGGAGATGGAATTAGTGCAGAGGAGACAGTGACAGAGCATTCAAAAAGCCACTCCAGGCTGGGCGCGGTGGCTCAAGCCTGTAATCCCAGCACTTTGGGAGGCCGAGACGGGCGGATCACGAGGTCAGGAGATCGAGACCATCCTGGCTAACATGGTGAAATCCCGTCTCTACCAAAACATATAAAAAACTAGCCAGGCGAGGTGGCGGGTGTCTGTAGTCCCAGCTACTCGGGAGGCTGAGGCAGGAGAATGGCGTAAACCCGGGAGGCGGAGCTTGCAGTGAGCTGAGATCCCGCCACTGCACTCCAGCCTGGGCCACAGAGCGAGACTCCGTCTCAAAAAAAAAAAAAAAAAAAAAAAAAAGCCACTCTATTGGAGCCTATCTGGGAAAAGAAGAGGAAAAAGTAGGTGGCATTGGCTAGCAAGAGAGGTGCCGTGATGGCATCGGCAGCAGGACCAACTGTGAAGAAAGACAGGGTGGTGAGTCCCCAGAAGTCAGTTGTGAGAATGTGGAAGTAATCAGAAGCCTTAGGGTCTCTGGCAAGAAGAAAACATTCAGTGCCTGGAGGGGCTCTGTCGGGCATTAGGTAGAAGTGCTTCAGCTGAGCACACAAAGCGGAGATGCCAGGGAGCTTGATCGGCATGCTCAGCATTCTCATAGACTATGCCGGATAGGAGCAGACATGTGAGAGGAGACAGCAGGGAGCGTATCCCTTACCTCAGGACAGCATGCGAGTCACAACACCGAGAGATATTGCCAAGCCTGGAGTTCCAGAAAGTGTCCTCGGTTCTTGTCTTCTTGCAAGAAAGAATTCAGCCAAAAGATCAGTTAGTAAATCTAGCAAAAAATGTATTGCAGAAGTGACAGTATGCTTTAAGAGAAGAGTGGACCAACTTGGTTGGGAGCAGCCCCAGTACACTCTGCATTTGACCTTTTTCCTCACTTTCTTCTTTGGGTTCCTGCCTTTGTTCTTGCCCAGTTCACACCCAGGCTTGGGGGGCTCTCCCTTACTCCTGGTTAATGCACATGTGCAGAACCCAGTGATCAAGATAAATTCTACCCAATGGTGGCATTGCTCATTGCTGCCACCCAGAAAGGTTGTATAGCCATCCCTTTTGCCTTTCCCCTTCTTTATCTGAATGTAGCTAACACATCTGACAGTTCAACCATAGAATGAGTGATTACTAAGCACCTTAAGAGTCGTTTTGGGGTGTTCCTTCCCATATAGCTACCTTTCCTCCTGCCTGCTCATATCTGACTAATGCCACTCTAACAGTTGGATTGCAAGGTTCTTGTTCAATTGAACCTTGAAACATTGCAAGGGTCATGTCCCAGGGAGATGGGAACCCTGTGCAGTTTTACATGGAATTCTGAGTAGGATGTAGAATGGATTCTATTTGGTCACATTTGCTATTTAACTACTCTTGATATCATTGTCATCTTAGCCATAAGTCATTCAAGTGATGGTAAGATAGACATAAGTGAGCTTCACTTTATGAATTCAAATATTGCTTTAAGTATTTAAAACCTGCTGTATGATTGCACAGCAACAAGAACATTTTATAACAATTGATATTAAAATGCTGTAAGTACAATAGCAATTAAGGATGTACTCATGTAAGAAAATCACAAAACTTTAAACTGAAAAACAGAAGAAATCTTTTTTAGTGTTACAGGTTCATAAAATTCATAAAAAGTATTTGTCTTAGATTCCTTTACATAATAATCATCCATATGTGGTCAGGTGTTTGATATCAATCATTCACATCTGATTAGAAGTGGGAACCTTGAGATGCTACAGGAAAACTTTAAAAGCATTATGAACCCAAGCCAAACTAAAATCAATTAGAAAGTAAGCCAAACCATCTCAAAGTATACCTTTAGTTGTCAGGCAATACCATTTCATTTCCAAAATCTAACTTAAATGCAATTTTTACAGAAATTTAAAATGTGCCGGTTTAGTTACATTTATCGAATAAAGTTAACAAATGAATATCTCTTGACAATGAGAGCTCCAAGGACTTTAAAAAAAGGCTGTAAAGTTTGTTTCCTTTCCTTAAAAACACAGTTAATTATGACCTTTACTTAAAATACATAAGTCAATTAGACAACTCAATATTTTGCAAAAAAAATACAAGAATTATATCAGAAGTCTGAGAAGGAAAGAAAAAATGATGCTATATCTAACCTTTGACAAGTCGCTCTCCATTCTGATATTTGAAGACAATGAGCTTAAGGTAGGAATCCTTAAGGTTTCTCTTGGAATATGTATTCTGTTGAGACCTAAATTTTCATTAAGATTTCCATTGCATGCTGACTGTAGGACTGCCCTTGTAGTATGAGAAGTAAATAAAGATCCGCTCTGCTCTTTTTCTTGAAGAAGTTTGGTACTGACGTCTGCTAGAATTTCTTTACGTCTGTGAAGATTGCAAAACACAGATACTGAGTATTTTGGGTTTTTTTACAAATTATGTCTAAATGATTTGCATTGTTTAAAAAGTCACCATGAGTCAATGAAAGATACCACAAACTATGTTTTAACTCTGAAAATGTATGAGAGCATGTGTACTGTACACAGTTTTAATTTTTAAATTGTTCTAAAGAACTACATGTACTTCTAGAGGATTTTTAACAAGTAATTCAAACAAAGTAGGGAGGGAAGAGCGAAAGCTATCAATGATGTGTGGATTAACAGGTGACATTTGTTGCCTTCTGAAATGGCTCTACTTATAAGATTCTTAAGGATGCCATTAGAAATACTTGTGTTTAGGCTGGGCGTGGTGGGTCATGCCTGTAATCCAGGCACTTTGGGAGGCCAAAAGAGGTGGATCACTTGAGGTCAGGAGTTCAAAACCAGCCCAGCCAACATGGTGAAACCCTGTCTCTACTAAAAATACAAAACATTAGCCAGGCATGGTGGCGGGTGCCTGTAATCCCAGTTCCTTGGGAGGCGGAGGCAGGAGAATCACTTGAACCCGGGAGGCGAGATCGTTTCACTGCATTCCAACCTGGGACAAGAGCAAAACTCCATCTCAAAACAAAAAAAAGTAAAAAAGCAAATAAATACTTGTGTTTAAAGGGTAACTATATGAAATGATAAACATGTTAATTTGCTGGACTAGAATCACCATTTGATTATGTATAAATATATTAAAACATCATGTGGTACTCCTTAGATATACAGGAGTACCGAAATATATCCAAAACTATAAATCCAAAAATATTTTACTCCAGTGAAATAACTAAAAGTAAAATAAAGCTAGAAATACTTGTATTTAGTAAGCCAGTTACAGAAAAAAAACTATCTCTCAAAGACACTTTCAAGCATGTCTTTTTACCACCCTTGTACATTTCACCCATTATTTGAGAAGCATTTGACACTGAGGAATCATTCAGAGCAACAATTCCCTGGGGAGAAGGAGATAGCCAAGGTCAAAGAGAACTCAATCATCTCCAAGGGTGATTAACTCCTAAAATTGTGACCCACGCATCAGAAGTGGGGCCTGCCCTTTTGGTATTCCACCTACCGCCTCAGGCTGACCAAGGTGTTATTTTTCACCACTTTGTGAATTAGATTTCCTTTCAACCCTGTGTTAATTATTCCCTATTTCACAAGTATGCCTTTATGTGGCGTGGAAAAACTATACAAAATACTTTGTTCCAAGGTGGCCTCTAATGATACTACCAAAGGTCGCAATCAATGACAGTTATTTTACTGAGTGCCAGAATGTGCAGAGGAGTAGAAGTACCTGACCTTTTTTCAGTTTAAGTTGTAATCTTATAAAAAATAATTCAATTCATTAATATTTCTATATAGGGGAATGCTGACAAACAATTGTGTAACAATATCACTGTCTAAATTATGAAGCTCCAAAGAAACTTGGCTGAAAGACTAATAGATCAGGTTAACCACATAAGAATATTAAGGGGATAAAGAGCCATATAAAACCAAAAAACAGGCCAGGCACGATGGCTCAGGCCTGTGATCCCGGCACTGTGGGAGGCTGAGGTGGGCAGATCACTTGAAGTCAGGAGTTCAAGACCAGCCTGGCCAAGATAGTGAAACTCCAGCTCCACCAAAAATGTCAAAATTAGCCAGGAGTGGTGAGAATATGAAAGGTTGGGGCTGAGACAGGAGAAATGCTTGAACCTGGGAGGCAGAGGTTGCAGTGAGCCAAGATTGTGTCACTGTACTCTAGCCTGGGTGACGGAGTGAGAATCCATCTCAAAAAAACAAAAAACAAAACAAACAAAAAAACACATCCAAAAAGAGGGGAGTGACATGAATTGTCCTGGATTAACTTTTTTTAAATTTTTTTATTTTATTATTATTATTTTTTTTTAGATGGAGTCTCACTCTGTCACCCAGGCTGGAGTGCAGTGGCGTGATCTTTGCTCACTGACACCTCCACCTCCTGGGTTCAAGTGATTCTCCTGCCTCAGCCTCCCAAGTAGCTGAGATTACAGAAGCATACCACCATGCCCGGCTAATTTTTGTATTTTTAGTACAGACGGGGTTTCACAATGTTGGCTAGGCTGGTCTTGAGCTCCTGACCTCTGGTGAGCCACTGGCGGATTAACATTTTAAAGGTAAGCTCATTTACTAACATCATTTTCCAAAATTGTTTAACCTAGTTAGCTTTCACTTCCCCCTAATCTCATGAACCTGTCTCACTAAAAATTATGCCTTTGAGGCAAATTAATGAGCTTCATTTATTTTCTATGATTCTGTGTTTTGACTTACTTGTTTAGTTCATCTGACAAAGATTCTCTAAGTTTTAATTCTTCTAGATACAGTTCCTTATATTTTTCCAATTCTGTTGTATTACAGTCTGCTTGTGAAGTTTTTGCTTTGTAGAGTTTGAATTCCAGATCTTTAATTGTAAGTTCCATCTGACTTTTCATAGTAGCATTGCTTTCCTCTGTTAAAAACTGTAACTTGTCATGGGCTATTTTCTGTGTCTAAAACAAATTGAAAGGGTACATTAAACAAATAATTATAATCTGAATAATTATTGTGTATTTGTTTCTTTTTGTTTTGGGTCGGTGATGTAGAGAGCATTTCTAAGTATGTGAAAAAAAGCAACTGAAGTTTAATATATTTATTATGAGTATCAACTAAATTAATAACTTAATCTGAATTGCAAAAATATTAAATCATGCTTATAGTAGTACTCATGAAATGTAACACTCCAAAGAATAATAAAATCAATTTAAATTCTGAAAAATTGAGCAATATAACTTAAGAATACTTCAAGCGTATAGTATAATTTCTAAATCACATTTTTCTTTCTCTATTAGTCTTGTTTCATGCCACTTGTCTTAGTAATCAAATGATTCACTAATGAGAATCATTATTATGGAAGATCAATTTAGTTACAATAATGATGGCAAGTGAAATATTTAAAGAGAGAAACAGATACCACCTTCCTTCTAGAAATCTACCAAACAAATTGCTGTAAGTGAAGGAGAGGAAACATGTACTATGTATGTATCCAAAATATAATTTGCAGTGAAATGAATGAAGGCACATTATGGATAATAAACTAACCTGTAAAATTAGATCAATGGTTTCTAATTGTTCTGCTATCTCCTGCCTTGCTCCTTCTTCGACCTCCTGTTTATAGTGTTCCAATTGGTCACATTCTAACATATTCATTTCCATGTGACTTTTGAGGTTTACTAGTTCTTCTTCCAACTTCTCCTGATCCTTCTGTAGTATTTTGCGCTTTTCTTGCATTGTTTTCATATATAATAATGACTGTTGAAGAACTTCAATCTCTGCATCCACATGTAGACCTTCTGAAGATGCAGTTTCCACTGCTTCTGTAATATCAGGCTGCATAAGTAAAATAATATGGTTTTGTAATGAAGAAAGAAGACAGAATAGTCTAACATAAAACTAATCATTTTTTAAATAAATTCAGTTGCAATAAATGTTATCTATACTGTAGTAGATTCTAAAAACATGGATCTTTGAATTACTTAGAAAATCAAAAACAAATTTAAAACCACCAGGAATCACAAAAATATATGTTTTACTCACATCATCTTTGCCACACAATATTTTTATGTGATAGTAGGCTTTCATTTTCCTGATTGTGTAATATATTTCCTCTTTAAAATGGCTCCAAGTCACTTCTTTATTGTTTGTTTTTGTTTTTTTTGTTTTTGTTTTTTTGAGGTGGGATCTCGCTCTTGTTGCCCAGGCTGGAGTGCAGTGGCATGGTCTTGGCTCACTGCAACCTCTGCCTCCTGGGTTCAAGCGATTCTCCTGCCTCAGCCTCCTGAGTAGCTGTGATTATAGGCACCTGACACCATGCCCAGCTAATTTTTTGTATTTTTAATAGAAATGGGGTTTCACAATGTTGGCCTGACTGGTCTATGAATTCCTGGCTTCAAGTGATCTGTCTGCCTCAGCCTCCCAAAGTGTTGGGATTACAGGCGTGTGCCACTGCACTCCGTCTAAGTCACTTCTTAGTACAAAGTCTCTTGCCCCCTCACACCCTTTGTTATTCCCCATAATTTCTAAAAAAGTTTTAGGAACACCATATTAAATTATCCAAACCTAAACCAATAAATCACTGTGAGAAGAAGACTTGAAAATAAGACTCTAATTAATGAATCTTTATGATAAAACCTCCAACAGATTAGGCATAGAAGGAACATATTTCAACACAATAAAGACCATATATGGCAAAACCACAACTAACATTACACTGAAAGAGGAAAAGCTGAAAGTCTTTCCTCTAAGAACTGGCATAAGACAAGGATACCCACATTCAGCACTCATATTCAACACAGTATTAGAAGTCCTAGTCAGAGCAACTGGGTGAGAAAAAAATGAAGGGCATCTAAATTGGGAAAGAAAAATTGAAATTTCTCTTTGCACATGATCTGATCCTGTATATAGAAAACCTAGACCCCTCAAACAAACTCTTAGAACATTTCATCAAATGGCTACAGAATACACATTCTTCTCATCGGCACATAGAACATTCCCCAGGATAGACCATACATTAGGCCAGAAAACAGGTCTTAGCAAATTTTAAAAACTTGAAATCATATCAAGTATCTTCTCAAACCACAATGGAATAAAACTAGAAATCAATACCACTTATGATTGCTAAAAAATAATAAAATACTACTCAGGAACAAATTTAACCAAGGAAGTGATAGAGCTCCCCTGCAAGAAAACTATGAAACATTGATGAAAGAAATGGTAGAGGACAAAAACAAATGGAAATATATCCCATGCTCATGAATTTAAAGAATTAATATTGTTAAAATACTACCTGAAGGAGTCTATAGGTTAAATACGATCGCTATTAAAATACATATTAGTCTATTTTCACACTGCTATAAAGACGCTACCCAAGACTGAGTAAAATGTATGTAAAAAGAGGTTTAATTGACTCACAGTTCTGCATAGCTGGGGAGGCCTCCGGAAACTTACAATCACAGCAGAAGGGGAAGTAGGCTCATCTTACATGGTGGCAGGAGAGAGAGGAGAAAGAGAAGGGGAAAGAGCCCTTATAAAACCATCAGATCTCATGAGAACTCACTCACTATCATGAGAACACCATGGGGGAAACTGTCCCCATGATCCAATAACATCTCTCCCTTGACATGTGGGGATCACAGGTTTCTCCCTCCACACATGGGGATTATAATTTGAGATGAGATTAGGGTTGGGACACAGAGCCAAACCATATCAAAATATCAATTACATTTTTAACTGGGGAACAAGATGATCAACCAGATGCAGCCAGGAAACACCTCTTCCACAGACAGAAAACAAAATATTGAGTAAGCCATCACACTTTGAACAGATTTTGGAGGGAAAAAGCACTCAAAGGCAATAGAGAGGCAATGCAGACACTGAGTTTGAAGAGGAAGGAAGCTAGGAAGCCAGATGGAGTCACCAGTCACCAGGACCAGCTCTTGGTCCAGAATTGGACCTAAGGAAGGAGAGAGTGAAGGAACTAGAGGTCACACAATCCTGCCAGGGACCTCTGAGATCCTAGGTACAAGAGATCCCATGATACACACAGACATTTGAATTGGCAGAGAGAACTGCCAAGAGAGTAGGGAGAGGCAGAGCTTGAACATGCATGGAGCCCAAAAGATTTCATGCATGAGGTAGCTGCAGGAAAATATGAGAATAGGCACCCATCCCCCAAGGCTCTCCATCTTTCTGAGTTACTTCAGCCCCTGCTGACAGCCAAACCAGGAGAGAGCAGGGCTGCCTTTCCCAAGGGCCTGAAGTGCATTTGATTTGCACACCCCCTTGTCTGCCTGTCCCTCTCCAGCTCCTGCCTGGTTGCTCTCTCAAGGGTGTACACATAGCACAGCCTCCACTGCCTCACCTGAGTGTTTGTCTGGCAGCCTGAAAGCAGTTTGCCCACTCCAGCACAGCCAATGCTTGACCCTGAGGTACCAGAGGATATAGCTACAAGACCCGTCCCAACTTCCCAGGGTTTGAGTGCACAGTTAAGGGGTATTGAGCTGATATCTGTGGCCTGAGCTCAAACTGGGGTGGCACCCCCGACTCTCAGAACAATGAGAAGAGTGAGGCACAGATTCATGTGCTGGCACAGGAGCTGGGTGTGCCTCCTTCTACAAGACTGGTCCGGAAAAAGCATAGCCTGTTGGCTGGCCACAGACTCCATCCAAGGGAAACCTGTGACCTGGAACACATATCAGGCCAAAGATTTGGGTTCAGAAAGCTTGGGGCAAAACTAGCTGGTCAGGCCTTACCTAAAAGTACACATCACAGAAAACCTGGTCAGGGCAGCATGAGTTTTATGGTCCTCAAAGCCAACTGCTGAGCAAAAAACTCCAGGATGTGCATACTTCACCAGCTGCACACCCATGGCACCATCCACCCTATCCAGGGGACCTTCACCCTTGACCCACAACATCCACAGACACCTGCAGACATACCCCGTATCCCACTCAGACTCTTCCAAGCACAAGGAATCAGCAGGTCCCTGGACATTTGGAGGACTAACCTTTGGCTCAGGCTGCCCCTAAAGCAAGCTTGTCCTGGGCCCATGGGCTGCATGCAGACCAGGAAGACTTTGAATGTGGCCCAACACACATTTGTAAATTTTCTTAAAACGTTATGAGTTTTTTTGGCAACTTTTTTTAGCTCATCAGCTATCATTAGTGTGTGTATAATGTGTGGCCCAAGACAATTCTCCTTCTTCCTATGTGGTCTTGATAAGTCATAAGATTGGACATCTCTGGCCTTAAAGATGGAGGCTGTGCAGCTGTCCAGGGACTTCTTTGGAGCTAAGAAAGAGGGAGTGTAGCACCAGTGATTGAAGGGGATTCTCTGAAGGCTAGGGAACAAACTTTGTGAGAAAGGCATTTCTTGCCTCCCTGCCAACTATCTCCCCCTCCTCAGCGGCCTGCTCCAAACACACTGATATACAAAAGAGTTATGCAGCTGAGTAAGAGCCTATGTACCAGCTCTTACTCCAAAGCACCATCTATGGGATTGAAGCCAGAATTACACTACCAAACAAAATTAATTCCCTCAACACAGTTAGCCTGTGAAAACCAATGCAAGAAACTAGCCACAACTAAGAAATCCGTAGAGGCCAGGTACAGTAGCTCATGCCTATAATCCCAGCATTTTGGGAGGCCAAGGCAGGTGAATCTCCTGAGGTCAGGAGTTCGAGACCAGCCTGGCCAATATGATGAAACTTCATCTCTTCTTAAAAAAAAAAAAAATTAGCCTAGTGTAGTGGCCCACATCTGAATCCCAGTGACTTGGGAAGCTGAGGCAGGAGAATCACTTGAACATGGGAGGTGGATGTTGCAGTGAGCCGAGATTGTACCACTGCACTCTACCCCAGGTGACAACAACAAAACTTGAATGAAAGAAAGGAACAAAGGAAGGAAGGAAGGAAGGAAGGAAGGAAGGAAGGAAGGAAGGAAGGAAGGAAGGAAGGAAGGCAGGAAGGAAGGAGAAATTCATAAAGATCCTTGGCCTTCTGAAAGAACCCAGAAACTAAACCAATGAACTGTTCCAACATACACAACAGTCAAACACTCAAGGGAAGAATAGGAATATAGAAACCAGAAGTCATATCCAAATGACAGCAATTTCAAAAAGATAAATAAACACTAGCCCTCTCAGACAGGAAAGCATCTGTGAAAGAAGTCCAGCAATTCAAAAAGTCATAGTGTTTTCTAACCCTCATAGGATCACACTAGCTCCTCAGCAATTGATCCTAACCAGATTGAAATGCTGAAATAATAGTCTTAGAATCCAGAATCTGGATGGTAAGGAAGTACAATGAGATCTAAGCAAAAGTTGAAACCTAACAAAGGAAGCAAGTAAAATAATTCAAGAGTTAAAAGATGACATAGCCATTTTAAGAAAGAAGGCGGCCAGGCGCGGTGGCTCAACCCTGTAATCCCAGCACTTTGGGAGGCCGAGGCGGGTGGATCACGAGGTCAGGAGATCGAGACCATCCTGGCTAACATGGTGAAACCCCGTCTCTACTAAAAATACAAAAAACTGGCCGGGTGTGGTGGCGGGTGCCTGTAGTCCCAGCTACTCGGGAGGCTGAGGCAGGAGAATGGCGTAAACCCGGGAGGCGGAGCTTGCAGTGTGCCGAGATCGCGCCACTGCACTCTAGCCTGGGTGACACAGCGAGACTCCGTCTCAAAAAAAAAAAAAAAAAGAAAGAAGAAAACTGGGCTTCTGGGATTGAACAACTCACTATAGGAATTTCAAAACACAATTGGAAGCCTCAACAACAGACTAAACCAAGCAGAGGAAAAAATTATAGAGCTTGATGTCTGGTCCTTTGAATCAACCTA